GTGACTCTGAGTGACCAGCCCCAGTCTGAGAATGCCCACCTGACCTGGCAGGATCTGTGGGAGCTGTGGGGCACCCCGAGAGGTGAAGGAGGGCTGGCTGGGGGGCAGGTGTTGGCATGCTGGGCAGCTTCTCCAGGGCAGTCCTCCGTGCGAGGTGCTTCTCCCCTCCCCCCACGCAGCCTTCTCTGGGACACACAGGCCCTGTTCAGAGGCCCCTCAAACAACAGAGCCCCTATTGTAGCTGGTGTCTGGGACCGCCATTGGCATTCTGGGTGGTGGGGCGGGGACGCTGGAAGGCCGGGATCTGGGGTGAGTGGGGCGCTGAGTCTGGGTGGGGGCTAGTGGGGGCTGAGGCCAGAGGGGTCAGGGAGTCTGAGTAGTTAGCTCAGGACGTTGGTTCTGTGGTGGGGAAACTGAGGCACAGAATTAGAGGAAGTACAGGTCTATTGTTTGCTGTGGCAGGTGTGTGTGTAAGTGTGTGTGCAGTATGGGGACACTGAGGCACCGAGCTTGATGGGAGCCCAGGTCTGACTGAAGGGCAGTTGTGTGTGCAGACATGGCCTTTGTCCTGGGGTGGGACGCCCAGTGCAGTCCCCTATCTGACAGTGACACTGTTTGTGATGTGGGCTGCTGTAACGATTGTTCTGGTACACTCCTGCCTCTGGTGTCTGGCATCTGTCAGTGGGTGTCAGTCATTGTACCCCTTTGATGCTCTCCATCCCACCTCCAGTGGCCAGCCCTATTGCCCAGCCCCCCTGAATCCCCACCTCTCCTGCTCAGAGAAATCCCTGAGCCAGCCCTCCACAACCCTGTCTCTTCTGCAGCAGGAGGGATGAGGGCTAGACACCAGGAAGAACTTCCAGACAGCAAGGGCAGTGTGGCCCTGGGAAGGTAACTGGGCAGAGGCAGCAGCCCAAAGGGGCTTGAGTACTAATTGGCAACTGTCCTTGGAAGCCCAGGAGGGACAGTGGGTGATGGCAGCTGATTGCCCTTCCTGGGTGGGGGGGACCAGTGGGTCACATAGCAGCCTGTGATTGAGACCAAGCCAGTCAACCATATGCCAGAGAGGTTGGCGTGATTCAACTGTGCTCATCTTCTGAGATGAGAACCCGAGGGTGCCCCCAGACCAGGATCAGAAGCCCACAGCTGTCAGTTGGGGATCATGGGATTCTTGGAGAGGTGGGAGCAGGTTGTCAGCAGGTGTGGGTTGGCCACTTGCCAGGGACCAGTTACTCCATGCCCATGGCCTTTGGGGTCCCTCTGGGGATTGAGGCTGGTGTGCTATGTCAGATAACACAGGCTTGGGGGCTCAGGGTGCTTGATATGATCCTTCAGGGACCCCCCAGAACCCTGCCTCACTATGTGGGCCTGGACACAGGACCTGAACCTCCTTGCCCAACTCTCCCTGCGGCGTCCAGCTCAGGTGCCCAGTGGCATGTGGGGCACTGCTACCTGTTCTTCCATGCTTGGAGTGAAACCCACTTTCTGAGGCCCCTGATGCAGGGTCCCATTCCTCTGGCCTCACACCTCCCCACCCCCCAACCCACACAAGCAGCCGGCACTTCCTCTGCTAGCCTGGTTGCTGACCCCACACAGTCCAGGGAAGGCAGCACCGAGCCCGCCCTCATACATTCATACATTCACACAGATACACATGCACACACACATGCACAGATACACACAGATATATGCATGCACAAATACACATATGCACAGATACACAGAGATACACATGCACAGATACACAGAGATATGCAGATGCACACGTGCACAGACACACAGGGGCACACACATACATAGACACACATGCATACATGTGTGCACACATGCACAATTGTGCATGTATACATAGATACACATAGATACATGTACACACATGCAGGCACAGATACATATATGTATGTGAAGAGACACACACATGCACTGATATACATGCAAGGCACACACCAATACACATGCAGAGATACACACAGACACACATGCACAGATACACATGCATAAATACACAGGGATACACATACATACACACACGCACAGATACACATGCACTCACATATGCACAGACACATATAGATACACGTGCATAAATACACATGCACACACACATGCATGGATACCACATGCATGGATACACACATGCACACACAGGTACACAAGATACACATGCACTGATAACACAGATATACATGCAGAGATGCACACAGACACACACGTACACAAATGCATAAATACACAGAGATACACACACATATTTAGAGCGACACGTGTGCACACACAAGCACAGGTACACATGCACAGATATACACACACACACACAGATACAAACACACAGATACACACACTCATACAGGTACAAACATGCACAGAAACATAGTTACAGATACACACGTGCACAGATATACTCAAAGATACACCCAGACACACTGACAGAGAACACACATTCACATACAGACACTCACATGCCCATATACACTAGGTACACACTCCCACAGATACACACGTGCACAGACACATACACAGGTACAAATGCACACATACAGATACACACACACATTCACGTACAAGATAAACACACGTACAAACTCACACCTATGCATGTTCATACACATGCACAGGCCCACACATATGCACGTCCACACACAGATGCACACAAAATACATACTGGCACACACAGATAGGAATTCACACACTTGCACACATGCATGGGCACACACTCACACTCAGATGCATACTCACACACATGGACAGATACTCACCTACTTATACACACCACACACAGTCAACTACACACACACAAATACACACATGCACAAGCATACAGAAACATGTTCTCACAGTCACATGTGCAGATACACATGTTTAAATGCACAGACACATTTGCACACTCGTACTTAGACCCCCACACTCACATGCACATCTACACACATCCACACACATAGGCCATGTACATCCACACACACTCATTACACTCACACACCAAACTTCCCCTGCCCCTTCACCATCCCTATCTGTCTCCCGGCCTTGTCCCTTGTCGGCCTGACCACAGCCATGAGAGGCAGAAGCTCAAGCAGGTAGTCCTGGGTGTCTCTGGGTCCTTCCTGGGATGAGGTGGGGTGGGAAGGGCCGGCACTGCTTGAGGTCCATCAGAGGGTGGCGCAGGTACCAACGGGTGAGCAGCAACCACAGAAGGCGTCCGCACATGGGGGAGGGGGCAGTGTGAGTGCTGTTTGGTGATCTAGCCAGGAAAGACAGCAGGGCCAGTTCTGTGGTTCCCGCCGTAATTGGGACAGTGTCTGACACCCAGAACCGGTCCCACAGGCCAGTGTGTGACCATTTAAGTCTGGTATATTCTTGGCAAGGCCAGGATCCTGGGAAGGGGCCTGAGCCCTTTACCCACCTTCCACCCCAACTCCCCGGGTGGCCTGGGGTTGCTTCTGCCTCAGAGAGCGGAGAGAACTTTGCGTTGTCCTTTGAGACTGTTTAATTCCCTTCTTGGGACCTGAGTGTTGGCCCTGGAATGGCTCTTCAGGGCTGCATGCAGCCCCAACACCTTGCTCTCTCCAGAACTGGGGACCTTGGTGCCCCTGCCAAGTCAGCCTGCAGGTCCAGCTCTAGCATTCCTGCAGCGCAGTGGGGATCCCATCCCATTGTACAGATGAGAAGAGAGAGGTTGGGGGTGAGAAGAAGAGGGCACAGTCACAGGGCTGGGAAGGGTGGGGCCCAAGTCCAGCCTCAGGCACCTGGCTGTGTTTCAGAACCTTGGCTGCCGCAGGCTTTCTGCCGGCCCGTGAGGCCTGCCCTGGGCAGTTGCCCACAGACTCCGTGCCCGCCTGTGAGGCCGTGTGGGAAGGACACCAGTAGGGGACTGCGGAGCAGTGAATGACCTTGTGTGGCCAGCCAGCTGGGCCTGGTCAGCAGGGTGAGCACCTGCCCACGGGGCCAGGCGGGTAGGGCAGATTGCCAACCAGGGGCCTTGAGGACAGTGGGGGCTGAGATCTAGGGGAGGGAGAAAGTTGCTGGGATCCACAGTGGCCCAGTGCCCGGAACCACATGCCAGCAGTTGCTTCTTCTCCCCCAGGAGGAAGCCTGACCACTAGAGTTGGGGGTATCTGGTGTCAAGGGTCACTCCCTGTGACCTTGGTGAGCCCTGCCGTCTGATCTCTGAAAGGAAGAGTTGGGGTCATTTCAGGTGGCTCCTCACCAGCCTTTGTGTGTGAGCCGGCCCCTGGTATAGGACATGAGTGGGCAGCTGTGGAGGGCAGTTCTGACAGGAGCATGCTGGGTAGGGACATGATCCTCAAGGTGACAGAGGGCACAGGGGCATCCACCGGCCATGCCAGAAGGGACCGGTCAGGGAGTTTTGCACCCCACCCCTTATTCTGGGGATGAAGCTCAGAGGTGAGACCTAAGGAAGGTGGGGGTGGTCAAAATGACCCCTGTCTCTCCCTGTCCACTTCTTGTCAAGTGTGTGAGTCTTCTCAGAAAGGTAGGGGGCAGTGGAGGTGTTGGGTGAGGAAGAGGGGCAGAGCCTGAGGGGCCCTCACCCTCAATGCTGCAGGGGGTAGGGAGGCAGGGAGGAAGACCCATGGGGAGCTGGAGGGGCATGGAGGAAGAGCCCTGTGGGGGTCAGGGAAGAGGTGTCCTCAGGAGCCAAACCCCATGGTCAGGCTCAGGTGAGGGAGAGTTCATCTGTCTCCTGGGCCCGATGGCCCCCGCTGCTGAGCAGGGCCTGGACTGAGCCCCTCCTCCAGGAGCTCTGGGTGGGGGGCCCAGCCTGCCTGGAACCTCACACAGCGCTCGCTCTCTTTTCCAGGTGTGATCCACGGCCACAGGTGGGCTCTAGGAGCTGCTGCTGCCCTCTGTGTCGTCTGAAGCTTTGCCCTCTGCCCTCTGGCCCTTGCCTATCGCCCCAGCCCTAACCCGCCGGACCCTGGCATGTCAAAGCCTGGCCGACACCGGCCTGCCCAGCCCGCGGAACCCCAGCGGCCCCGCGAGCTAGGATGAGGGGCCAGGCCGCTGCCCCGGGTGCCCTGTGGATCCCTGCTCTGCTGCTGCTGCTGCTGGGGGACCCGGCGCGAGTGGCCACGGGGCTGGACGTGGGGCCCGGGTCCGAGCTCTGTGCCACGCTGGTGCAGGGCAAGTTCTTTGGGTACTTCTCAGCTGCCACTGTCTTCCCGGCCAATGCCTCTCGCTGTTCGTGGACGCTGCGGAACCCAGACCCACGGCGCTACACTCTTTACGTGAAGGTGGCCAAGGCACCTGTGCCCTGCGGTGGCTCCGGCCGTGTGCACACTTACCAGTTCGACTCCTTCCTGGAGTCCACGCGCACCTACCTGGGCGTGGAAAGCTTCGACGAGGTGCTGCGCCTGTGTGATCCCTCAGCGCCCTTGGCCTTCCTGCAGGCCAGCAAGCAGTTTCTGCAGATGCGTTGGCAGCGGCCACCCCTGGACGACGCTCCTGGACGGCTCCTGGACCCTGGCAATGACTTCTCAGTGGAATACCTGGTTGTGGGCAATCGCAGCCCCAGTCGGGCCGCCTGCCAGATGTTGTGCCGCTGGCTGGACGCCTGCCTGGCTGGTAGCCGCAGCTCGTACCCCTGTGGCATCATGCAGACCCCCTGTACCTGCCTGGGTGGGGATGCTGGTCCCCCTGCCGCAGGTCCCTCAGCCCCTCATGGGGACGTCTGCCTCCAGGACGGCGTGGCCGGTGGCCCCGAGAACTGCCTCACCAGCCTGACGCAGGACCGGGGTGGGGACGGTGCCCCAGGTGAGTGAGGTCAGGAGGGGCTGCAGGGGACGGTCAGGCAGGGAGCAGTGGGGAGCAAGGGGCTGGCATCAAGGGAGTGGGGAGGGCAGGGTGAAGGGAGTGAGGAAACAATACACAGATGGGCATCTCTGTGGAGGGCAGGAGAGGGGCTAAGTGGGGGACCGGATGGGCTCACTGACTAGGGGCCATGTGCTTGGCATTCTGGGATCAGGTAGGGGTGATCTCTGGGGAGTTGGGGACCCTGCGCTTGGTGATACCCGCAGTGGGGTGTATGGGTTTTCTGTCCCGAGGAGGCCATGCCTCATTCAGACCTGTGTGGAGGTTGTCTGGCAGTGCTCCAGCGGGGTGGTAGGGCAGGCAGGCAGGGGGTTCGGAATTTGCTGGGAAGGTGGATTCCTCTCTGTGGCCTCGAGGCCTGAGGTCAGGAGGAACCCCAGGATTTGATCCAAGGGGCTGGGGCATTGGGGTACCATGGAGATGGAGCGGGAACAGCTTGGAAGGATGCTGAGGGTTCTGGCTCACTGTGGAGTCTCCCTGCAGAGATGGGGGGCTGAAATGACGAGGTTGGTGATGGGGTGAAGCAGAGAGGAGGGAGGTGAGAAGTAGTCATCCTTGAATGCTCCCCTCCTGTGCTTTAAGCCCCATTGGCATTCTAGTTATTCAGAAAGATGTCTTCAGAGGTATAAATAAACCCTATAGAGCAAGACCTTTTTAAAGTGTTGAAGAGCAAAGATGTCAGCTTGAGGACTAAGGTGCGCCTGACCCAAGCGATGGTATTTTTAATAACCTCATATGCATGTGAGGGCTGGACAGTGAATAAGGAAGACCATAGAAGAATTGATGCCTTTGAGTTATGGTGTTGGAGGAGAATACTAAAAGTGCAATGGGCTGCCAAAAGAACCAATAGATCCGTTTTGGAAGAAGTGCAGCCAGAGTGCTCCTTAGAGGCCAAGATGGCCAAACTTTGTCTCTCATAATTTGGACATATTGTCAGGAGGGACCAGTCTCTGGAGAAGGATATCATGTTTGGTAAGATGGAGGGTCAGAGAAAAAGAGGAAGACCCCCAATGAGATGGATTGGCCAGGTGGCAGCATCGATGGACTCAAGCGTGGCAACAGTGGTGAGGTTGGCCCAGGATAGGACATTGTTTCATTCTGCTGTGCATGGGGTTGCTATAAGTCGGTGCCAACTCGATGTCATGTAACAACAACAACAACAACACTAGAACATGGGACACATGGGACACATGGGACACATGGGACACATGCTAGGAGGCAGGAGGCCGGGCCAAGGGACTTAAAGAAAAGGCAACCAGAGCCCGGGGGGAGAGGGGGAGGCAGAGAGGGCATGACTGCGTGAACGAGGTCACTATGACCTTGGAAAGAGAGTGTGTCATGTGTATATGGGAACAGAGCAGAGAGGTGGGGTGGAGGCTGGAGGCTGGTATGGGAGGGGGATGGACACAGGAACCCAACCCTCCCCAGGAAGCCCCTCGACCCCTCAGAGCCTCAGTTTCTTTATCTGTAACCCCTGGGCTGCTTTGCAAACTTGCCCCTGGACCATCTCTGCAGACCCCTGGGCATGCAGTGGATCAATAGAAACGCCTGCTCTCCTAGACCCAGGGGAAGGAGGCTGGGCTGCACAAAGCCCAAGTCATGTTAAAGTCTCCGTGTCCTTGGGTATTATTAGGAGGGAACCTCGAAAGGACTTGGGGAACAGAGGAAGGCAGGTGTTAGGGGGGGAGTCCACTCAGGTGATGGAAACTCTGAGGAAGGGGAGGTGGGGAGGCACTGCTTGAGGAGGTGGGAAGGCATGTGTGTGCATGTGTGAGGATTGTACTGTGCAATTGTGTGTGTTTGTGTCACATATGTGCATGTGAGCATTGGGTGGTGCAAGTGTGCGTCATGTGTGCACGTGTAAGTATTGTGTTGTGCAGGTGTGTGTGCATGTTTGTGTTACATGTGTGACTTGTTTCATGCAGTCAGTTCTGTGTGCGTGTATGTGTCACTGTGCACATGTGGGGATTGTACTGTGCAGGTGTGTGTTTATGTGTGCCACATATGTGCATGTGGAGATTGTATGGTGTGAGTGTGTGCATGTGTGTATTGTATGGTGTGAGTGTGTCGTGTGCATATGTGAGTATTTGCTGTATGGGTCTCTGTCATGTGTGCATGTGGGGATTGTACTTTGAGTGTGTATGTATGTATGTTTGTGTGTGTGTATGTGTGATAACTGTACTATGCAGGTGTGTGTCATGTGTGTAGGTGTGCCATACATTGTGGACATATTCACATATGCAGGTGTGTGGGCATGTGTGCTGAGCCTGGCTCTGTGCAGAGATGTGTGTGGGTGGGGGTCTTGTGGGGCGAGGGTCTGAAGAGAGCCTGTGATGGGAAACAAGTGGTCCTCTGCACTGGTCCTGTGCGGTGGACAGTGGTCACCAAGCAAGACCTTGGTGTTTGTGTCCTGGACCCAGGAAGCCAGGCTGCTTGGGGACCTGGGGAATAAGAATGAACCCAGTGGTGATACCAGTGACCATTTACTTCTGATTTAGTGCTGGAAGTACAGCTACTGGTCCCCTCCTTAGGAGCTGGGCCTCTGGACCTTTGCATGGGCTGTGGCCTCCACCTGGACACCTGCTGGCTGCTTCCCTCCAGCCTTTGCTCACACGTCCTCTTCTCTGTGACAAGCCTGGACCGTGCTGTGTAAGGTGGCAGCACCCCCTCAAGTCTCTGAGTCCCTTTCCCTGCCTGCCTCTCTTTCCACAACACACAGTGTGACTGCCTGGACTTGCTACATCTGCTGACCACTGTCTGTCCCTGCTAGGATAGATTTGCCATGGAAGGGTGCTTACTTACCCCATTCACTCATGCATTCTCAGTGTAGAGACCTGTACTTGGTACACAGAAGGCACTCAATAAATGCTGGGTAGTAGGACACAGCAGGTACTCAGGAAATGCTGGGTAGAGGAAAGAGGCCAGAGACAGTAAGACATTGACCAAGGTCACAGTCGTAAGTGTCAGCTAATAACAGGACTGGCTCTATTGTATGGCTGTGCAGTGGGTATGCATGTGAGTGTGTGTGCACGCATCTGAGTGTGAACACGCACATGCATGTGTTCACATGCAGACGTGTATGGTGTGTGCATGTGAAAGCATGAATTGTGTGTGTGAGTTGTGTTGCTTGTGTGAGTGCATGTGAGCTGTGTGTGCTTGTGTACATATGTGTATATGTAAATGTAAGTTTGTGATTCTGGATGTGCATCTGACCTGTGCATGCTCACATGAGTAAATGAGTGTGTACATGTATCTGCGTGTCTGTACATGTGAATCATGTGAGCTGTGTGCTTGTGCGCATGAGATTTAAATGTGTGCATACATCTGCATGTGTGAGTTCATGTACTGTGTGTGAATTGTGTGTGCTTGTATATGTGTGGGTGTGCTGTGACCTGTGTGTGCTCACATGTATGAGAGTCTGTACGTATGAGTGCATCCACTGCATGTGGGTTGTGTGTACCCATGTGTGCATGTCTGTGAGTGTGCATGTATGTGACTGCATGCTCACCTGCATGTGTGTGAATGTGTGTTGGGTGGATAGGTGGTACAAGGACCAGAGAGGTTGAGTGACCATTCTGAAGCCATGCAGCTGAAGTGGGTGGTGTATAACCCCTGAATGTTGTCTTCTGGGCCCTGGTCAGGGAGTTCCCATCTGTGTTGTTCAGGGGAGGCTGGAACAGGCACCCCTGCCATCCTGCCTCCCAAACAGGTGGCATGTGGTTGAGCAGAGAGCGAGCTGGCAGCCGCAGCCAGTCTGTGGCCCATTTGCGGTCCATGCCCTGCTTGGCCTGCCCAAATGCCACCACATGGCCACGTCACGCGCCACGTACCACATTCCCACCTCGGGCCAGAGCAGCTGTTCCCTCTCTGCCTGCCCACCACTGTCCACCCGTCACCCTCTTGGCAGCCCCTTTCTGGGTGTCTGGGCACTGTCGCTCCATCTCTCAGATGGTCTCTACATTTGTCTGCCTCTTGTGAGATGGGGCCGTTTTTCTCAAGGGCTGTTTTAAATATTCATGCTTTAATTAAAGAATTTTACTGCAGAAGCGACATGCTAGATAATGAAAGAGCAGCGGCTTGGGGAGCAGCCATGAGTAGTGTGTGCATGGATCCCTGTGTGCATGAATGCACTCACATGTGTGCACCCCTCTGTGCGGTGGAGTTGTGTATTGTGTGTGAGTATTGTATGCACACATGTGTGCTTGTAGATACACGTGTCTCCTTGTGTGCATCTGCTGTGTACACACATGTGCACTTGTATATACACATGTGTGTCGTGTGTGTGTGTGTGTGTTGTGTGCACACACGTGTGTGTTTCTGTGTGTTTTGTGTGCACACGTGTGCTCATATACTCACATGGGCATGTGTGTGTGTGTGTGTGTGTGTGCACATTAGCGTGAGTGTGTGCCTGCAGTGGGATGGTGGTCTTCCTGAGCTGGACTGCTGGCTCTCTAACACCAGGCTGTCAGTAGACACTTCCCGTGGTGGCTCAGGCACTCCTGAGCTCCCTCACACTACTGGGTTCTTTGGAGACAGTCAGAAACAGGCTGGAGGTCAGCCCTAAGAACCCCCTGATTCAAGCAGGCCCCCAGGTGGAGGTGTGGAGAGCCCCCTTTGGGTCCTCAGAGTTCTGGAGGGAAGAGGAACACCAGGTGGGAGGACAAGGTCTCTGCAGCTAGGCATCTGGAGTTTGGGAGCGGGCCAGGGCCAGCTTCTAACTGTTTAACCACTAAGTAGCATCTAGGGCCAGAGCTACCGTGGCTCATTGTGACACCAGGAAGACCATCTGCCACCTTCAATGGGCAGCAGCCCCCTTTTGGCCAGACGCTTATGGAGCTCAGTTCTGAGGGGTTAACCGTCCTCAATTGGGTTCCAGCAAGGTGGGAGACTGCTTTTTGGGGTGTTGGGAAGGGAAGTGACATGTCCTTGGTCACCTGGGCCAC